AACAGAATCCACGGGAGTAGTCCTGCCTGCTTGATGTACGGTGTGTACCGCTCATCGTAAGGCATGGCAGGACCAGAGACCCCGTGATACCGAATCTTCAGAGGTTCAAGCTTCTGCAAAAAACAAGTAATGACAAATCTTAGGGCATGTAAATTTCAACTAAAGGCAAATTTGCAAAATATTTAGATTACTCATTATTACCTTATCCTTCTCGCGCATCATGTAGGCCCGGTGTTGCACGTCGTAGACATCGTCCAGAAGCCAAACCATCCTTACAATTTCAAACAATAAACATATAAAAGTTCATCTTCATCTCAAATATCGGTATACACTAAACATATAACATGTGTTCAACTACAAGAATCTCAACATCTCCTTCTCATACAATGAATATGTCATATGTGTTCAAATAAACTAAACATCTAATATTTCAAATAAACTCAACATCTAATATTTGAAATAAACTGAACATCTAATATATATCTAAACAAACTTCTCATATATGTCTACAAAAATCAACATCTCATAGTTATCTATAAAAATAGGCATCTCATATATATCTAAAAAAACTAAACAATCTAGGGTTTCAACAACAAGAATCATATATTGTGAACTAATAAATAACACTACGGTACTACCAATATGAATACACATCCTAAATCGAGCAAACCAAACAAATCAAGGGTTCCATCAAATCATGGACAAATCTCTAGAATGGCAACAAATTTACGGAGCAAAAGAAAGAGAAGGGAAGAGTTTACCTAGTAGGATGGATTGGGGATCGAATCCACGGATCAAATCTTCAGATCTGAGAGGGATGTGGGGGGATTAGATGGGGGCGCCGCCGCCGCCGCTGCTCTCTGTCCAGAGAGCGGAGAGACGAAGAACTGCCTGGTCGGGCTGAGGCGGCCGCGCTTAAGTCACTGTGCAGCGCCCAAGGGTTAGGCGCTGCACGTCAAAGTGTGGCGCCTAGCTCTTAGGCGCTGCACAGGTGCGTGTGGGGCCGCAACTGGACTAGGGCTGCCACGCTGGCAGGATGTGCGACGCCTAAGGGAGAGGCGCTGCACAGTAGGGTGCGGCGCCCAGCTGTCGGGCGCCACACCGAAAGGTCAGCAGAGTGAAATTTTTTCGTAAACAGGTCAGTTTGTGATTTGATTTCTGCCTCAGGTCAAATCTGTGATTTCTGCCTGCTTCTAGTTCTAGTACAGTAGTAGACGGATCACGAGATCAACGGCGGCGGCGCGCAGACTGTCGTGCGTGCCCCATTGGGGATGACATGTCAGCGCGGTAGCTGTCAATCATACGTACGTACGCAGGTCACGCGGGCAGGATAACACAACTCTGACACGGGCATGGTGGTGGCTCCACCTAACGTCCACCGTTGAAACACCAGCACGGCTGCCGTGGACAGCTGAACTCCATGCCGTGGAGAATTTGGAAAGAAAAACAAAAGAGACGTGAGTTTTTTTTTTCTTATGTGAGTTTCAGTGGGTACCACTGTCCGTTTAATCGAAGTGAATTGCAAAAAACATCGACACTTCAGGCAAGATTTACATGAACCACACATTTATGGAATTGTGCCAAAAAATACTAATTTTTTTCATAATTTTTTGCAAAAACACTGGTCAAAAAACACTGGTTACTCGTTTGGACCATTTTAAGTACGTTTATGACATGAGGGGCCCGCTTTTGCTGACGTGGCGTAACGGTTCGCAGACGATGCCGTTAGACAGACGACTTTACACCAATACCCTTTTTGGAAACATGAAAAAGCAATCGAGTCCTTGGCCCTGAAAATAAAAGCAATCAGGACCTCATCTCCCACCGGTCCGGTGGGATTGCTCCGGTGCCAGCACTGGGCGGGGGCGGCGGAGCCCGATATGGCCATGTGGGAGCAGCAGCCGCACGCGACCAGCATCGCCAGCGGCGGACGGGAGCAGCAGCAGCCGCGCCGGACTCGCGTGGGCACGAGCAGCCGCGCCGGCCGCGAGTAGCCGCAGTCACGCCGGCCGCTCGTGGTGGCGAGCAGCGGCGACGGGAGTGCGCAGCAGCAGCGACGCCGGACGCGAGCAGCATCGGCAGCGGCGGACGGGAGCAGCAGCAGCCGCGGCGGCGCCGCACGCGAGCAGCATCGCCGGCGGCGGACGGGAGCAGCAGCAGCCGCGCGGGCTCGCGTGGGCACAAACAGCTCCGCCGGCCGCGAGTAGTAGCAGTCACGCCGGCCGCTCGTGGTGGCGAGCAGCGGCACCGGCCACGAGTAGCAGCAGCCGCACCGGCCGCGCGTGGGCGCGGGTAGCGGCGCCGGCGGGAGACGGCGAAGCTCCAGGTGAGCTGTTCGGAGTGGGGCATGGCGGCTTGCATGCCGGCGAGCTCGAGCTCCATTGACCGGCGCAGGGAGGCCCAGCCGACATAGTCAACGGTGGTCGGAGGAGATGGAACCTTATCGTCGGCTCTTTTCTAAAAAAGTGAGGGAGCTTTTGGTAAATATATATCTCTAACGACGTCTAGTGTGAACGGCTACGCTACGTCATCATTTATGGGACCCCATGTCATAAATGTATTTAAAACGGTCCAAACGAGCAATCAGTGTTTTTTGCAAAAAAATATAAAAAAAATTAGTGCTTTTTGGCACAATTCCATAAATGTGTGGTTTCTGCAAACCTTGCCTGAAGTGTCGATGTTTTTTGCAATTCACTCGTTTAATCGTATGCGTGCAAGTTTATTTTAAGCACTTTTTTTTACGAAAGTTTATTTTAAGCACTTTACGTCCTAGGCAGTCAAACACACCGATAGGACACTTTACGGAAGTTTTTTTTTTCAAAAGTAATTAATACTTCCTCCGTTTTTATTTACTTCGTATATTAGCTTTAGTCAAAGTCAAACTTTATAAACTTTGACAAAGTTTTTAGACAAAAAATATTAACATGTACAATAACACATCAATCACATTAGATTCATTGTTGAATACACTTTCACATCATATAGATATGCTATTGTTAATGTTCATACTTTTTTCTATAAAGTTGATCAAAGTTATGAAGTTTGACTTCAGTCAAACCTAATATGCAGAGTAAATAAAAACGGAGGGAGTACATTGCTCTTGTTAAAAACATCTAGTAATGCGTGTACATATAATTAAATTTCAGAGGACATCGGAATAAGCACCCTTCTAGAACAACCATGCGCTATGACAAAATGAAAGAACCGCCAACCTTAGTGACAAATGTGCAATATAGTCAAACTATGGAAACAACGGTTTGATTATCAACAATAGTTGAACTACTTAACATCAGAGGATCTCCTCCTCATCACTTGTCTCAACTTATGTACTCAACCATCTTGTAGACGATAAATAATTAGTCATATCACACTGCATGCAAATAAAAGAAAAATAAAGCCTTGGTCTTGGAAGCTCAAGCAAGTAAGCAAAACAGGATGAGAAAGGGACTGTCCATGAGCTTTGAACACATCACTGCTGAAGTGCAGCCGATCGAGGTTGTCCAAATCCATTGTAAAATAAGAAAACTTTTCAAACCTGGCAAGCCACCAGAACTCTCTCGAGAGTCGACCATCCAACCTTCTTAACGTGCTTAACATATTTGACTCCCAAGAAGCAAAGAGTAAGATATTTGGGAAACCAAGATGTGTTAATATTGCCAAAAACGCCCAGCATGGTTCTCATGGACATATGAAAATCCCTACCGCGGACAATTAGAAAAGAGGAGACGAGAGTTTCAATATGTACAGTCAATTTAGGTATATTCGTGCAATTATCCTACGAAATGTCCCTCGTCTAGACACCATTTTGAACTTACACGACGTTATGCAAGAAAACAAAAATACTTAAGAAGCAAAACAAAAAGATATTTTTCTTTGAAAAGTAATTAATAGAAAATTGCTCTTGTCAAAAGCATCCAGTAGCGCACGCATGCACAACTAAATTGATGTTACATACAGAGAACATAAAAATGAACACCTTGCTAGAATAACCATGCCGCTATGACAAAAAGAAAGAACCACCAACCTTAATGAGAAATGTGTAATATAAGTCAAACTATGGAGACAACAACTTCATTATCAACAACTAGTACTAACATCAGAGGATCTCATTCTCATCACTATCTTATCTTAACTCGTGTACTCAACCATCTTGTAGAGGATAAATAATTAGTCGTATCACACCACACGCAAATAAAAGAAAAATAAAACCTGATCTTGGAAGCCCAACCAAGTAAGCAAAACAGAATGAGACTATCCCTGAGCTCTGAACAACACATCACTGCTGAAGTGCTGCCGATCGCGCGAGGTTGTCCAAATCCATTTTTGTAAAATAAGAGAACTTTTCAAACCTTGCAAGCCACCGGAACTTTCCAGAGAGTCGACCATCCAACCTTCTTAAACCCCATGGTTCCCAATCTCCCATCAACCATTCAAACCCTCGCAGCCGCCGTCGCCATGGGCACCCTCGTCGGCCACGTCGCTCCGGGCGCCGGCTTCCTCCTCATCGGGCTGTGGCAGCTGTTCAACCACATCCGGCTGTTCGCGCTGCGGCCCGGCTCCTACGCGGCGCCGCTCTGGTTCCCCGCGCGCGGCGTCCGCCACCTCGAGCTCATCCTCATCATCGCCGGCACGTCGGCGTCCATCCTGATGGAGCTCGTCATCGGCCCCGCGAAGCACCAGCCGTTGGACGACGACGGCACCATCCCGTCCGACCACCTCCACAACTTCGAGCACGCGTCCGTCTCGCTCGCCCTCCTCGCCTTCGCCGCGGTCACCATCCACATGGACAGGGTCCGGGCGCCGATGCGGGACGCCGTGTCGCAGCTGGCCGCCGCGGCGGCGTTCGCGCAGGAGCTGCTCGTCTTCCACCTCCACTCCACGGACCACATGGGCGTGGAGGGGCAGTTCCACTGGCTGCTGCAGACCGTCGTCGCCGTCACGCTGGCCACCACGCTGCTGGGCATTCCGTACCCGCGGAGCTTTGTGGTGAGCCTGGTCAGGTCGGCGAGCCTCGTGCTCCAGGGCGTGTGGTTGATCGTCATGGGCGTCATGCTCTGGACGCCGGGGCTCGTCCCCAAGGGGTGCTTCCTGAATCACGAGGACGGCCACGACGTGGTCCGGTGCCGCACCGACGAGGCGCTCCATCGCGCCAAGGCGCTGGTGAACCTGCAGTTCAGCTGGTACCTGACGGGCACCATGGTGTTCGTCGTCGTGCTCTACCTCCAGGTCAGCAGGCTGTACCCTGAGGAGCCGCAGTACTTGCCGCTGGTCAAGGGAGGACCCTCCGGCGGCCGGTTCAGCGTCGGGGACGATGACGAGGACGATGACGACGAGGATGACCTGGAGGCCGCGGAAAGTACTTACGGGCACATGGTCAGCGGCACAAAGCCCATGGAGATAGAGAGGTAAAACTATGAAAGGAGGGAACGGTGAAGATGCAGGGTCGTATATGTGGTGCTGTAGATTTGTATATATAGTTGTTTCAATTTTGTGGATTTGGTGTTCACCGAGTGAACTGACCCGTAAATGCGGGTCAAGTTCAATTTGCTTGTTGGTCTGATCATCGGAGTACTACAATGGATTCATGGCTGGCCTGTGGATGGAGAGTGGGCTTGCACCTTTTGTGTGTCTTCTTGATTGATGATTGTACCTTAAAGCTTGCCGTAAATGACTTCTTTTAGGCCCGGCAGTCGTCCCCGGCGCTTTCATTCCTCGCTCTCTTTTCTCATCAACCTACGAGTCCAATCCATTGTGTCGCCTTCGGTGTTACTAGATCATAATGGCGCGCGTTGCTGCGCTCGTCCTTTATATTTGTATAATATATAATGAGCATAATATCATAAACATCTGAAAACATCAAATATGAAAGTTAAGTTTGCATATCTTTCTCATATTATGCCACTAATTAAAGAGGAGAAATTTATGCACAAAAGTAGTAGGATATATGTCAAGACTTTGAGTACTTTCAATTACAGTGCCACGATGTAGATGGCGCGTGGGTTACATTTGTTCAGGGCTTTAGGTATACGATCATGAAAATCAACATGCTGGAATGACCCCATTGCACAAAAGGTGATGGGGCAAAGTCGATTTTGTACTGTTGATGTAACTTAAATTTATTTATCAATTGAGAATTTTTATCCCGCTGCGCGTACAAATAGCACCAGCCAGATGGTTTAACATGGGGAATCTTTGCTACAGTATGCTGGAATAATTATGTCATTGTTAGATGACAGCTCAAAGAAAATTCTTAATCTGAAAACCACTTAAAATTACATGGTAGATCTCTCGATTCCTGAACCTAAAATATCGGATACAAAGATGTACTCCCTCTTTTCCTGAATATAAGGCTTTTTAGAGATTTCAATATAGACTACATACGGAGTAAAATGAGTGAACATACACTCTAAAATGCGTCAATATATATCCGTATGTAGCCCGTATTGAAATCTATAGAAGGTCTTATATTTAGGAATGGAGTGAGTAGCATGCATGACAAACCGAACTATTTTTTCCGATTATATGCAGCGTTCTTATTTTGCCAGATGAATATCTTGAACATTTTCTTTAAACCAAATAGGCATTACGCTGAACTCTTTTTTTTCAATTTCTTGGAAAAATGAGTTAAAACATGCAAGGATACTTAGTGTTGATTTCACGAGGCAAATAGAAACTGCTCGGATCTACTAACCTTTATATAAGCAGCTCATCCAGCCTTAAAATCCAGCCTTGGAGCAGCAGAAATCAGAGCAGAGCGTTTCACCACCCCACGTAGCAGGCAGGCAATGGAGATGGCTCAGCGAAGGATAGCTCATGCGATTCTACCTCGTCGGTGTCCTCAATGGTTGACTTTAACTCAGATTACAATCAATTTGCTGTGTCCCCCGTCTCCTCACGGTCGAGGCCCAGGCGCCCAGCTTCAGGCGCGGAACATCGGAGGCCGTACTACGCTAACCTAGCATCCAAGGTACATCCAGGGAAGGACGCCGGCGGCGCGTGCCACCATGGCCACCATGGAAGAACGCAACATACCATAGGAGATTGAAAAGATGGGACACAGTGACGCACCTGTAGTCCTCTGCATGGAGGGTAGAGGACACGTACGTCGATGCATATCTGTAGTAGCATCTCGCAACCGGGAGGCATGACGACGACAGCGGGCGCCGCCGCGACTCGGCTCGCCTATTAGGGATGGAATTTTTCGGGGAAGACAGAAGAGGCATTTTTAGGAATGGATAGGCAGGGAACACGCCGAGTTTGTGCACTTTCGAGCGGGCCCCCGTGGTCCATCGACTGGGACGGCCCGATTAACGACAGCAGGTCCAACACGTTCTGCAGAGCAGCTGCCCAATCATTTTGGGCCGAGTGGGCCGCGCCGGGGACAAGTAAATAATTTCCACAGACTACAGTGGGATGGCTGAGCTGATCCAGGACATTAGTGAAGGAGATCCGACGGCTCTGGGGTTCAAATCGTTGTGGAGGGGCGTAGGTGGGCTGAGTTATACTGTTTAGTAATTGCTAGCATCTTATTTATCCTGGACCGGCTCATAGCATTTGCTAACGATTTGCAAGGCAATTTTTCTTTCGGAAAAACTTCCAATATATTCATCTTTAATCATGGTAGTACAACGAATATTAAAAATAATAAAAAATCGAAAACACTAACGCCCACACGTATGGGTGTTTGCATCCCGCCCACACTCGTGGATCCACGTCCGTTTGTGATGGTGGCGGAGGCAGAACTTTTGTGGAGCTTGGGCAAGTTGAGCCTAAGTGTATAATCTAGAAATCAAAAATCGGGTATTTGGATACACATCATGTAATATATCACCAAACTTCTGAATGACAAATCCACATTAATAACGAAGTGAAAACATAAATATGATAGTCACACAAAATGTAATTTAAAGTGAAATTAATATATCATATATCAATATCTATTTCATAGACCAAATAAAGTTGAGACTTCACAACAAAAGATAAATAACTAGCCTTGCACAGAGGCAAACTCGCAATGTTGTCAACAAAAGTAAAGCTATCCATACCTAGATGTCATCAGGTGTGATCTTGCAACTTCTTCCACCACAGTCAAAAGAATCTCTCATTTGTTCATTTTTGCCAAACAAAGACATACAATCACCCTTCCATAGAGGCAAACCCGCCATGTTGCCAAAGTCCTAGGAGGCACTACAAGATAGAAAATGGATTTGTAATTAAGTTGTGAGATGTGAATATATTAAATCTTGAAAGCTTGCAAGAATAGAGATGGCCAGATGGAACATACGGACAGTGCACTAAAGAAAATCACGGGGCAAATACCCTTTCCGAGACCTCATTGCAGTAAATGTTTGAATAATATTTTTATCATCAACTGAGTTGAATAACTCCTGTTTGGTCTAACATATCATCAAGGTCATTGAACCATTCATTATTTCCGGTTGGCAATGTTAGGCGGTGGTTGTGCCTCAACTTTTATTTCCGGTTGCACACCATTCACATTTTCAGTGCTTGCTCTATTCACCAAAAACCTCCTCATCTTTGAAATTTAATGAAAAAATTTGAAGTTAGTTGTCACACAAGTAAATAAAAAAATCAGCTACAATAAGTAAAAACAGTACAATCTTTAGGAAAAAAAAGTAACAATACTACATAACTACTTACACATAAACTACATGTATTGTATCAAAATTCCTTAAAGCCGTCAACGAAGCATTACCTAAATTTAAGCCCCAAATCTATTGGTTCATTGCAGATTGCCAAATGGCTTTTCTGATTTAAAGAAATCAACAAACACATTAAATCAGAACTATTTCTGGAGGCATGTAGTAGTACTGTAGAACTAATTAACACTTTAACTAACATCATAGCATAGAGGAGCGCAGAGCTGCTGCTGTTTTGAGATTCTACAGGAGGTCTTGGTTGTGCTTCAATCCCTAGTCTTGACCAGTTACTCAGAGATGACTAGATGAGGGATCCCTAGCACCTAGCCCTAATTTCCATGGAGAATTCTTAGCCAAGGAACTGTGCCAAGGATGAGATCATGAGAGGAAGGAGTAGCCTTGCCTGGGCGCAGGACGTCCGCTCGCCGCGGCCCCGTCTCGCCGTCTAGGGCAGTAGGGCTCTAGGCTAACCGCCGCCCCCGTCGCCCAGTGCCCTGCGCTCGGCGCTGTGAGAAACGAAGAGACAGGAGCGATCGATCCAACCACGCGTACTTTTTGTTTAGAACAAACCACACTGTACATACGTTTTTTTAGACAGACACCGTGCGTACGTGTATTCCCTCGGGTCGTGAACTGTTGGTTGGGCTGCGGACTCTCTCCTACGGCTGCCTGTTGGGCTGTGAACCATTGAGAAACGAAGGCCCAAATTATTTTTGCCCAGATAAAGCAAGCTACCAACAGCATTCGGCCTTTGTTAATCCATTGAGCGCTACTGTCGGGGAGCCAGCGAGCCCGGACAAGTGTCCAGGGTCGCCGGGCGGTGCCTCCGCCACCGGTTTGTGGGTACACAAATCTTGACTTGTTTATGGTGTCACGTAGGACTGAGCTGGTGTGTGGGCATTCATTCGGTCTTCCATACGTCCGTTTCATCACTAGGAGGGGCCGGTGTGTGGGTGTTTAGCAGTTCGCCCACACGCCAGTTTTCACTTACGCACAAGGGCTGGTGTGTGGGCATTTGCCATCTCGCCCACACGCCCGTCTTCTTTCCCACACCCAAGCTGCCAGTCGCCATGCGCTTTGCAGTGTATTTGGCAACTGCCCTAATGTGCTTGTAAGCATATGGCAATTCTTTCTTTTTTTACCCGAACATGTTAGTTGCCATATGTTTTGCAGGGTACACGGCAACTGTCCTAGTGTGCTTGTAAGCAGATGTCAACTCACTCTTTTACCCGAACATATTGTTTTGTCATGTCTCTTTGTTGCGCTACACGGCAACTGCCTAGTGTTAGTAGGTGGCAACTCCTAAGGTTTTCAAATTACGACAACTGCAGTAAACCAGACCATACATGGTAACTGCTTAGTGTTAGTAGGTGGCAACCTCTAAAGTTTTCAAATCATGGCAACTATAGTAAACCAGATTAGACATGGCAACAACTGATGTTGTCCAAAATGGCATCTGACACTTGACCTGAGATGGCAACTACAGTTGAGCAACCATGGCAACTGTAGTTGTCTGACATGGCAACTGTAGTTCAGCGACATGGCAACTGCAGGTAAATGGACATTGAAGAGGGTCCGGACCATGGCAACTGTGGGGACGCGTGTTGACTGTCACACTGGGCGTGCGGGACCGTGAGGTAGGTGGCTGAGAGAGGTCGTGTGGGCGTTATGCATTTTGCCCATACATAGGCGTGTGAGAGGGACCGCTAGGGAAAAAAGAGGCGTGTGGGCGCTAGTTGTTTTGCCTAC